AACCTCACAACCAAGTTTATGAACTCAGTGTTTTATTTCTTGTTTTTCTTAACAATCCCTTTAATCGGGTCTACAATTTGTTCCACCTTTGGGTTTGCTTCCAACTCCAGCGTCTCACTGACGTGGAAAATTCTCTTCGGAACTCGATCGTAAAACCATTGCTCCGGTCTCCACCCGTAATGAATCACAATTACTCGGTTAACCATCTCATCCTCCTCCAGGAATGCTTTAGTGATACTGCCATCGAATACGACGTATTCCTCGTTAAAATCGAACGCTCCCTCTTGCAGAAACTTTTCGCTGTCTTGAGTGTAAACAAGAACGACGCATTGACTTTGGAAAAGCTCGTCCTCTAGGGTAGAATCGTCCTCCAGGGCGTCACTTACTGTGGCAACTTTAACTAAGGAGCCTAGTTTTCCTTGAAGAAAATCTTTCAACTCCTGGCTTCGGGTTTCATCAGCTTGCGCATAGAGAAAAAGGACGTTGGACATGATTTTCGATCTATGAATTTAAAGCATAAAAATTAGATCTTATATATTAAAAACCTGCGACAATTTTTTTTTCCAAAACTCGTCATAATTCAATAACAAGTAATGATTAAAAAAAACTTATATTTTCGACGACTGTTTCTTATTTATTCACGCACGAATTTTAGACAAATAGGCCATTTTACAGTTGTGTACTTAGTTGCCAAGCCTTTTATTCAGAGTGAGGCTGAAGTAGACCTTGTTGTGATAGAGACCTGTATCTACTTAGTATGATAACAAAGTGATTTACATTTGAAAGGCAGCAAGGTTTGTATCATGGTCAACCCTAGCCTCACTCCCATTCAAAGGCCTGGCAACCATGCACACAACTGTAAAATGGACTATTCATCCGTCACAAATACTTTGAACAGCATTTCATGCGTCACGAATTTAAAAGGGAAAACCCCAAGTCTCTCTTCTTCTGTTCGAGGTTTCTGGAAAATCTTGAAAGAAAAAATTCACAGGTCAAGCGTATTCACAAGGCAAATCATGTCACTGATTCATAAATTCACGAATCACGCCTTTCTGTAAAATTCACGCATCGCATATTAATTTTGGCCTCAATCACGCTACGTAGAGACCCTTAGCCACCCTCTAATGAAGGCGGAAGGCGCCATCTTTGTTGATATGCGCGCGCTGACTAAGGGTAGACGGTCCGTAGCGGCATCGGAGACGCGCTGGGCAATGCCACGGAAGGTGAAGGTGAAAAGGGGCTTGAACAATACTTCAGACCTACAACGAACGAGAATTAACACTATGGACGAATAAGGAGAGACTCGCAGAATTCTTCACCTGAAGCATTACCTACTTTTCTAAACCCCTTCCACCCATTCAGTGATTTTCATGGGAGCGACGACTGGGTACGAAGCAGATGCAAGGCGTTTTTCTTTGGCGTGATAGTATAACAGTAACCGCTCGGTAAAGCGAACAAGAAAGAACGCGTTCTATCTTCCTCATTTTCCCAACAGCTGACTACCGCACTGCAATATACTATCACACTTTCCTGATAGAGGAAAGCCTGATCTCAGGTTGAGGTAAAGGCAACGATTAAACTTTTTGAATCGCCAGTCACGCATTCGTCCACAACATTTGTAGAAGAATGCGTGACAAGCCGTCTTGAAGGGTTTTCACTACTTGAGCGCTTGACCTCTGACATTTAATGTCGTTCCGTCTTTTTTGTTCAACTGAAATTAATTTATGTTTCAAAGCATGATAAAGTAATTGTAACCATAGGCACACGTTTTTTGAATCGTACAGTAAGCTGTTCCGGTTAATTATTTAAGCAGATAATGGATAGCCAGATGAGCTTCGCGGTCAGATTAACAGATATTTTATGTCTAATCTAGTGTTACAAAGGAAACAGACACATTGTTTTGTTGTGCATGTTGCAGTTTCTGTTTATAACAAGCAAAAGATGATCGCTTCAAAATTGAGTAAACTCTGATGAAATTAAAAATACCAGTGCTACGAAAGGAAAGATCAAACTGAATTGACGGAAAATAATTTATTAGTTAAACAGAAAGAAACAGAAATGAATGCTGACTCTAAAAATGTAACTCGTTGCGTTACCCGTTTGGATTCGTCAAACTGTTTGTTTAACTCAGAAGAATTCTTTTTTCCATATTTAATTCATTTGAGGGTCTTCACTGTAGACTAATTTTAGCATTTTCATAGTGTAAGGCAAACAGTTTTGAAGCGTCTGTTGATGTTTCGTGAAAAGCAGTAATGGAAAGCTAAACGCTAAAGGTCTCGCTCACTTAGACTCCGGTCTGTCTCTTAATCCGCAGCTCTAAAATAAGCCTAGCTTTAATAGGCAACGACATTAGGCACCTACCTCTACACTGTGTCTTTTTGGTTGGTTGAACTGTCCAGTGAAAAATTTTGGGGCAGGTTTCTTTAAGAACTTTCATCACATGTCCAACATTGTCAACCGATTCGTGCAATAAAAACTCGATTTACCGGAAGTCCAAGAATGCGAAACAAGAGCCCTGTTGAATTTTTTAAGGTCAAGTAGCCTTGTTTAGCTATGACATAAACGTGCGTTCGAGAAGGTAGAGCCATCATTTGGCGTGAACTGAAAAAATTAAGAGCCCACTCGTTAACTTGTACACTGCAAAATCAATCATAAATTAATTCAGAATATTCATGTTGATCTCCGCAAATGTTTAAATTTCAAGGAAAGATGAGTGGCACCGGAGCAGTGAATCAGTGAGAAAACT